TATTTATTTATTTATTTATATGTATAAATAAATATTTATATAAATGTGTATGTATAAGTCAAAATTTCTGATTTGTAAAATGTAAAAGTTGTTTTGTTATTTTTGAAATAGGGTAAAGATAAAGTAGGGAAAGTGAATTTTTCCCAAGTTTCATTATATCCTATAGACATATTTGTATTCCGGCCCGTGTGCTTCACAGATTGGTGGAAACAGATAACTTTTTAAGGAAAGTGATATTTTGTCATCTAGTTTGTCTAATTATGAACTTAAAACTGAACCTTGTTTCTATAATGTACCCTATATAAATTCAACTAGTTCAATCAGTTAATTTGTTAAAATCTGGATGATCGAAGAGGTCTTACAGATTCTTTAAATTGACCAGCTTCCCTAGTTCTGCTGGAACGGTCCCGTTAAATCTGTTACTCTGCAGGTTCCTGAAAGTTGAATAGATTTTCAAAATTACAATTAGAATTCCGAGAAAATATATCCACTATCAAACAAAACATTCATGGTGTTTGCTTGTTTATGTGGGGAGTGACCATAAGTAGAGAGAGAGAGAGATCTATGGATCAGTTGATATATAGAGGGGGAGATAGCTAGATAGGAACTCACATATATACGAGGGTAGTAATGTTTCCCAAGTATTTTGGTATGGGTCCAGATAAGTGGTTCGCCATAAGAGACCTACATCACATATACTTTTTCAATATAACTGAGGATGTAGACATTACATCATTGCCAAGACTCAATTAAAAACTACAGGCAAAGCTCACATGAACTCCAGTTTGGTTGCTTCCCATTCCTTGGGTATTGTACCACTGAGGTAGTTGAGGGCAAGATCACTGCAGCCAATAGATTCAGAGTGAGATCAATGTAGCCAATAAATGGTCTCATCCTTTGAAGCAAAAAGCTGAGTAGATTTAATAAATTGAAAATAAACTTGGAATATCTTGCTACATTTTCTTGAGGTAGGGTAACTTTGCCAGTGAGGGCGGAAGGACACCTGCCAAATCCTGTCCTTTTAGATATCTGTTTTTAAAGAAAAAAGAGGCTATCTTTAGCGTACTCTGAATTGAAAAGTTCTCATCTAAATTTTACAAGTGCGACAATTAAGTTTCCTGAAAGGTAAAAGAAACAAAGCGAAAAAATCACTCCGAAGGGATTTCGAAGGAAACAATACGATATATTAAGCTCATGTTTGGTGGGGATTATTTTTAGCAAATTTTGATAAAAGTTGATTAAATGTGCGGTTGAAAAGTTGTGAAACCCATAAAATATGCGGTTAAAATTAATTGTTGATTTTTACTCAGATTAAGATCTAGATTTTAATCGTGCCAAATAGGGGCTAAATGTATAGATTGGTTGAAGTGAAACAACTTGTTAGAGTGGCTTCATCTAGAAAACACTACAAACGTTATGCGATTTCATTTTCAGCTTGAACTTATCAATCAAAGAAGTAACTTGAAACATTGACATGGTTATATCACTAAGACAGTTTATTGCAGAAATTCCTATACATATGTTAAGAGCAAATCCTGGTTAAAAACGATGAAGATAGAGACTTTAGCAATATAAAACAGACTATAAAGGTCAAGTATGATTACTAGACACCATAAGTTCTATTGAGGTTAAGAATGAAAAAAGTACAATAATTCCCACTTAAAATACCATTTTAAGAATCGACAAACAGATTACCAACCATTATTCGGTATTCCATGTCTCAAAATCAGATACTGAAAACCCCATCTTGAGGATCAATAGAAGCAGAACATATTTTCTGTGATTGCTGATTCCTTGCAATTCAATAGCACAAATGGCTATTTCTAAATCAATTTCAAACTAATGAAAAAGATGATAAGTTTTTCAACAAGAAAACCTACATCGATTCTACGTGGCATACACCACCAGCGGAAGTACAATTGCAGATGATGGAATCGTTGTAATGCATATCGGGTATTTCCAGTTCTTGACAGGTGAAGTCCCAGTCCTTTTTGCCCAACTGATCAGCTATTTCACGAAGAGCATTCTCTGCAAAAATCAAAACTTTATTCTAAAATAGAAATGTGATCGGATTCAAGTTGATCAAAGCGAATTTTTAGAAATAACCTGAAGTTTAATGGAAGGCTAAAAATTGAATGGAAAAAGAAAGAAATGGTTTACATAAAAGAAACGATCCTTACTTTCGTCCTCAGTGAGATATCCACTCTGTGCTAAAATAATTGTTGCTTTGAAGAAAAGTAATATCGTCAAGGTGAACATAAAAATGAGAAAAGCTTTAGACATCTTTACGCCTCAGTTTAATATTCATCAGGCCGAAACAAGCACGTGTATATACGAGAAAGAAGAGATTAGAACTTCGATTAACCTTCAATGTTACGCCCGTGATAACATGAGTCTAATATTTATTTTACTTTCTTTCGTCAAAAGGCATTTTTTAAGACAGGACATCATAAATATTTTATATTTCCTCCCTAGCAAACGATAAACATAAGTGCATTAACTTGCCAGGTAGATTGAGAAGGACCTCAATGGAAACTTGGGAAATGGACAATCAACATTGGCCTCCTAATCTGAATATTCAAATAAATAGAATTTTCTTTATCACGTCTATTCACCTTACAGTATAATTGACTTCTCCTTATTCCATTTCATCTTGTTCATTGATAAGTGCGCTTTACACACTTATTCGAGGTGTAAAATATCGATATTTGATAATTCTTTTGATAAAATATATCCTAAATTGTTGTATTTCATATTATATAGGTTAAACTCAATTGTTGAACGAGAAATTGGAAGAAACAAAAGAAAATCAAAGAAAAATGGCAAAGTCCAAAGTTTGAGGACCAAATTGCAAATTCAATAGTTGATTTGGACCACGAGATGATACTTCGAAGATTGATAGGAGACAATTGGATGAAATTAGAACTCAAAAAAGAATGGAATATGATCAAAATATTATCACAATTAATGTCCAATCGTACAAGTTATATTCCAAATTTTTAGCCGAATATTGATACCCATTTTTGGCACTGTAAACGTCCGAATTGGAAAAATACTATTTCTAGAAAAGTTGTATCCCTTTGAGCTAGCTTTCCAAAGCACTTTGATTAGCCCTAATCAGATATCAGAAGAGAAAGTTATGGTCAAAATACTGACCGTTGTACAAAGATAAAAAAATCCGCACGAATGAAACTTTCCTTATTCGATTGGAACACTTTTGGAAACCAAATTGGACGTGATTTTCAATCAATTTTCGATTTCTACAAATACATAACAGCAGAATACATGAAGTAGGAGATGGGAGAAGACTTTTGAGAGAAGAAAAGAGGCAAAAACGCGAAGATTAACTCCAAGAACGCGAAGATCCAATTCAAGAATCGAATTGGTGATGTCGTTCTTTATTTATTTTTCTGATTTTCTTCTTCCCACCATGCTAG